GGCTATTTGAATAAATTACGTAACGATACAAGCGCCACATTCCAACACATTGCACGATACAATACGAAATATACACTCTAATTAACCGAACGCATATTAACACCATTTTGAGGCGTTTCGATCTTACACTAAGCGATGACTTAAAAAGAATTTTTCTCAGTGCCCTGACATCTTCCAACGCATCTTACAACTTACAACTTAGACGAGTTTAAAGGAAAATTCTTTATTGCCGATTTCGTACACTTTACAGCAACTGCAGTATTTTCCATAGATCTCTTACAACGAAGGTAATTATTAACCATGCACGCTCTCTTATACTGTATATTTGTCTCGTAAAGTGATAATGACGCAAACATAGTGAGCTTGGGCCACTAGGCGACTAGGAGTATTTCTGCTCTCCCGCTTTCCTCCCACCCTCCCCCTAAATAGGTTTTAGGCTTGTCCATAGCAAGATCACGGGCATTAAATTGTACGTCTGGGTGGAAAAGGTGCAAAGACATAATGTTATTTTAAATTTAAATAAAGTTTGATTTTCCAGATCATCTTTTCGCAGGGTTTAGAGACGAGAAAGCTATGAACAACATAGAAGACATTTTACAAGTAATCCGTGTTGGCTTGGTTGTTGCAACTTTCCCTCTCAACACTGGTCGTGGTCTCAAAGCCATTAAGGTCTGCAAAGAATGTTTGATTTTCCTAAATAAGAAAGTGCCGAAAAAAGAATACAAATTTTTCAATTTAGTTAACATTGCTATACACAAAACCCTTTGGAAAGTGTACTGTTTTGTAATTGATTATATAAATGCATCAAAATACGTCAGGAAACTTCTTGACATTCATTGCGAGCGTGGCGAAACAACAAAAAAGGAAAGATCACATTAATACTAGCCAACATTTGTGAACAGCAATTCAAATACGCACAAGCAAGAGAACTTTACAAGATCGCCACGAAAATCATGAGAGAAATGGGCAACAGAAATGGAGAAGCATTCTCTCATGAAAAGTTTGGAACCATGTGTTATTGTCTTGGTGAATATGACAAAGCTAAAGAAAATCTTGACAAAGCACATGCGATCAGAGTAGAAATTGGTGACAGAACAGGAGAAGCAGCAGATTACGGAAACTGGTTAGGAGTTGTGCTTGAATCTCTTCGTGAATATGGCAAAGCAAAAGAATATCTCAAGAACGCACTTGCCATCAGGATAAAAATTGGTGACAGAGCAGGACAAGCAGCAGATCACGGAAACTTAGGAACTGTGTTTCAATCCCTTGGTGAATATGAAAAAGCTAAAGAATATCTTGAAAAAGCACTTGCCATCAGGGTAAAAACTGGTGACAGAACAGGTCAAGCAGCAAATTACGGAAACTCAGGAACTTTGTCTCAATCTCTTGGTGAGTATAGTATCTTGGGAAAGCATTTGCCATAATGGAAATTGGTCACAGAAAAGGAGAAAGAAGCTGTTGCGGAAACTTAGGAATTGTGTCTCAATCTCCTGATGAATATGACAAAACTCAAAGAATATCTTGGGAAAGCACTTGCCATAAAAATAGAAATTGGTCACAGAAAAGGAGAAGGAAGCTGTTACGGAAACTTAGGAACTGTGTTTAAATCTCTTGGTGAATATGACAAAGCTAAGGAATATCTTGGGAGAGAAATCGCCATTAGGATAGAAATTGGTGACAGAGAAGGAGAAGCAGCAGCAGCAGATTACGTAAAGTTAGGAAATGTGTTTTAATCTCTTGGTAAATATGAGAAGGCTAAAGAATATCTTAAGAAAGCACTTGTAATAAAAATAGAAATTGGTCACAGAAAAGAAGAGGCAGCAATTTACGGAAACCTAGGAACTGTGTTTTAATCTCTTGGTGAATATGAAAAAGTTAACAAATATCTTGAAAAAGCACTTGCCATCAGGATTATCATGATAATTGGTGACAGAGCAGGACGAGCAGCAGATTACGGAAACTTAGGAACTGTGTTTAAACTGTGTTAAAGTCTCTTGGTCAGTATGACAAATCAAATGATTATTTTAAGAAAGCACTTGCCATGAGGAGAGAAACTGATGACAGAGCAGGAGAAGCAGCAGCTTACGGAAACTTAGAAACTGTGTTTCAGTCTCTTGGTGAATATGACATAGCAAAAGACTATTTTGAGAAGCACCTTCAATTAGCCGAGATATTGGAGACCTTGACAAAGAGATTCGATGTCCTTCCAATCTTGGTGAAGCTATCCCAAGGGAAGGTCCAAGAGGGCTATGACTATCTACTCTTGAGTAAGGACAAAAGCGAAAGTTTGCGCGGTTTTCTAAAAGACAACGATCACTTTAAGGTATCGTTTTCAGACGTTCACGACTTTCCCACCGGAATCTTAGTTTAACCTATTGTCTTTCTGGGAATTCCAACAAAATCCTTTTTGAATTTTGCGGGACAACTATTTCGGCTTATATAAACGATGTAGGTCGCTTCTCTCGGGAACTCAAGGCGTGACGATTACCACGTACCGCTTAATTTGATTTTTATTTATTTCATACCTAATTAAATTTAAAATCTATATCAAGTATGTACAAATTGACTTGGCAAAAGCCCACTGTGATCGTTTTACTGATAGAAACTTGAAGACGCGGGCCCATAATTCTCTATTCACTGAATTGTACCATGCTTAAAGTTAAAATAGGTAAAAGGTGATTGTGACATCAAAGGTACATATAAAAAACGAGAAACTTTACTGAAATGTTCTCGTCGCCATCCACCCATTTGTTTAAGTTTGACAGGTTGCGACCCCACATCTCGCCCTCCTTAAGCGTTGTTGTTTAGAGAATGAAAACTGTTTCATTTTCATTTCCAGGCAATAGCACCATTCTGTATTAAAAGAAAGGATTTAAATTTCCATTAGCTTTTATGTTAAGGTAAAGTCTACATACCAGCCAAGTGACTCATCAGGCTGGTGCTTCGGCCGGTTTCCGCATGAAGCGACTAGGAGTATTTCTATTCTCCCCTTAATGGGATGCTAGTCCATATTGTTCGACAATTTTCTTTAAACTAGAGAGATTTTCAATATTTCTTTTAGGCAATATGCAAACTTTTTGTGATCTAAGACCACTGCAATTTTTATTCAGTAGGTACGCGTGTATTATCGTGCGCAATGATAAAAGAAACAGACAACGCCACTATTTCGGAAGATCTCCTCACCTTATCTCCACTGTAGCTGGAAAGGTAGCACTCGCCAGATGAACAAACAAATTGAGGTCTTTGGTCAAAATCGCTCTCCATGTGTATTTTCTCTGATCTGTCCACTTGTCAGGGGATCCGAACTCTCTTCCATGAAAGCAGCGAAATCATGGGCATGGAAGTTTTCGATCTGCCACGAGAACGAGATTAGTATCTCTTCCTTCTCATTTATCACCTCGTTATCAGTTTCCTGTACAAGCTAGTATTTCTATATTGTAGTTATGTTTTTTGTTTTGTTTTGTTTTGTTTTGTCTTTTTTCAGTAATCTTACTGTTACTGTTACTCATGTGCATAAATTAATGCCATTTTGACTCTTTACCTTTGCTTTTATTATTGCCAGCAATCTCTGTCTTTTGCCATGCTGTAAATCATAGCGGGACTTGGCAGCATCATATACCTGTGTCCTCGTGTCTTTTCTCGGAGTCATTGTTTTACATCCCGGAACATGGCATTTGATTGCCTTCATCGGGCACGAGTGCTGATGTAAACTGACATGACCTCTGAAATACACATTTAAAGGTCACTAATTATAAATGGGCTAGGTAGGTCTTAACTCTCCAAAGCAAAAATTACCTTCATCGATTAAAGGAATTTTAGAATTTAGAGTAACGTATTATACTTCACCACTAAATTTTCTCCGATTCTTATTGGTTTAAATTGGTCACGTGACACCATATTTTTCCTCTGTGGAGAGACAAATAGCCGAATGGATAGCTTCGCTTCTAGGGCAAATATTTACGGCTTTAAGAACATCAAATTTCTGCATTGTGTAACTATTAGCCGGTGGTTCTTCAACAGAAAAACTATGATTTTATTACAGTTCACCACTAAATTTTCTCCGATTCTTATTGGTTAAAATTGATCACGTGACGCGATAGTGTTCATCAGTAGAGAGACACTAGCAGCGCGTAGTGCCCGTCCGAGGAAAATGCCCGGATGGATAGTACTCGTCCGTGAAAATATTTCTGTAAACAAGCGGGCTCATAGAAAGTAAACAATTGTCATTGTATTAAAAGGGTTTTTGTTTGTTTTCTTTTTCAAATTTTCCATTTGGCTTTCACGACTTTCATCTAAAAAAGTTGAAAAATTCAATATGAATTTTGAACTGGCGCGCGGAAGAAAATTTTGTGGTGAACAATAAAGACAATAGAGTGTTTATGTCTCGGAACTATCGGTCTGATAGTTGCCCCTTGGAAATTTGATGTTCTTAAAACTAGCATATTTGCCCTCGAAGCTTCTCTTCTCGGGCAAATATTTGTTTTAAGAACATCAAATTTCCGCGGAGCAACTATCACCCGATAGTTCCTCGACAGTGTTAGTAGGAACTTAATGTTACACGACCCCAAAAGCTTTGAACTTTAAATCTTACCTTGTTTAAATAAAGGATATATGTGTATGTATGTACTGCCAAGATGCGTATGGTGCGCAAGTCGTTCGTAATTTCATCTGAGGCCTTAGTATGGTCAGAGGATAAAATTAAGTTCATACCTTGGTGGGTTGGGGCCACATCCAAGTGGGCAGTCGACTTGGGAATAATAGCATTCCGTTGCTTGGTGCTGGGCCAGATCACCCTTTTTGATTTCCTCAGGACAGCCATGACAGGTGATCTTCCTCCGCTTGCAATTATTGCAGTGCGCTATGATTTCACTCGCGCACTGCAACATGATCGCAGCCATTGTGTGGGCATTTAACTAGAGCTTTTAGACAATTCTTTTCATGCCCTCTAGCATGTTCCAGTGTTCCTTTTCCACTCAAAATCCGGGCTGGAACAATTTATCTTTACACTTTTGGACAGCTTTTCTAGGTTTATGTTTATTTGCAAATGGTCGTAACGAATATTTCGCGGCAAATCGGGCAAGAAACTGCTGAAGGAGTGGCGTTATCTCCCAGAGATACGATTGACCTGAGTTACTTCATACAGTCTGACTGACCGCACGCCAGACTCGTAGGTTTCATCATCAATTTCCAGCTACAATATTTAGAAACAACGGTTATTTGAATCTGGATATACTGTTTGGCAGTATTAAATGTTTTGTCAGTTCATTTTCAAAACATCATTGATTTCGTTTTATTTCAAATGGAGAGCTTTTCTATGATTTTCTTCTTCTGGGATTTAATGAATGCAGTACAATTGTTTCACTGTCTATTTAAGCGTAAAAACTCGCGGAAAGGGGTCAGTAATGTACTGTCGCAATAGTGATTTTAAATCGCCGAGGTATTCACTGAGGTCGCCCAAAACTTCCCAACACCACTATTATTCCTGGAGTGAACTCTATTTCTTTGTAAAATAGCCCCCTGTTGCCAGTATTCCGCAACAGTCATATAAATGTTACTCCTGAGAAAACGACTGGCCAAAACCAGCTACGCAATTTTCTATTTTCGTCATGCTCAATTTTAGGTCCTCGGCCGCTCTGACTATTATGACCAGTAAAAAATGTATATATATTTTAACGTATTTCGAAAAACTAAAGTCATTTCATTTGCTTATGACCCAAGATGATTCACTGCCGCAAAGTTTTAGGGCAAACGTTTTTCCGACCCGAAACGGAGTAAAAGGCTTTTACAGAAAGTGCTACTTAATATTCAAACATGTTTCTAGATTCTCTTTCTACCAGGACTTTTAATACTTAGTCAGATCTCTCAGTAGAATCTCAGTAGTTTAGTTGTGTATAAAAGACGTCTTCACAGATCAATGAAAATAGATGAAATTGTGCCAGTGACTATTGAAAGCATGTGTGAACGCATTTATTAAATCGCTGTGATTTTATCCTTTATCATTCAGAAGAAAAGTATTTAATCAATTGTGCTCGAGAGAGACGACAAATCAAATTTCAAAATAGGAATTTTAGCCGTTGTCTTTTACGAATGAAGCGTAACATCTCTGTATTTCTAGAGTCTTTCGACGTAATATTTGAGAAGTTCCACCGCAAGGAGTCCCACAGGAATACGACACTCTTTATGTGGTGATTTGCACTGCAGCCATGTTGGTTGACGAGAACAACAAAAATCGTTTTCACAAGAATAGAGTTTTATTCCCAAAGAAGTTTGGCAATGTCGCATAAATGTGTCTGACCCTTTCCAAAATAGTTTTTCAGAACTCGGCTTTCTCTTCTTTACTGGGAATCACGTCATTGATAATTTGGTAATGGTAAGAATGTAGCCACTGTATTTTGCAAGTGACGCTCAACATCTTTTTCATATTTAAAGGTATTTCTAGAGTCTTTTGACGTAATATGTAGCAAGTTCCACCGCAAGAAGTCCCACAGGAAGTACGACACTCTTTATGTGGTGATTTGCACTTAAGCCATGTTGGTTGACAAGAATAACAAACGTCACTTTCACAAGAATAGAGTTTTATTCCCAAAGAAGTTTGGTAACGTCGCATAAATGTGTCTGACCCTTTCCGAAATAGTTATTTAGAACTCGGCTTTCACTTGTTTAATGTGAATCACGCCATTGATAATTTGGTAATGGTAAGAATGTAGCCACTGTCTTTTGCAAATGAGGCGTAACATCTCTTCGATATTCAAAGATATTTGTAGAGTCTTTTTGAGTTGCATTTTTAACTCCTTTTAGGTTTCTTAACAGTCTAATATAGTTTTTAGAAGACGTCTTCGCCGACCAATATAAATGCATGAAAGCATTTGTACAAGTAATCAAATTTACAGCATGCGTGCGAGCATTTAACAAAGTGATATAATTTTTATCATCAAGTCCTCATCAGAAACAAAAGTGTCTGTGTTAGAGGGAGGCGCCAAAAATCGAATCTCAAAATAAAAAAAGAATGAGGCCGTTGTCTTTTGTAATGACGTAAATCAATTTACTTTTAATTTACTTTGCAATGAAGCATAACATCTCTTTAGATTTTATTATTCTTTTACAGTGGGAGTTGCTATGTCTATCAATGCATAACAAAGTCGTCGCCGACACATTAAGAGCTATTTAGTAACTTGGAAGTTTGAAGATTAATGTTGTGAGAATGTATCACCACCCATGGGGGTTGTAGTAATGTCGCCTAGTACTGTATGGCTCCTTGTAACAGAAATTAACGGTAAAAGCTGAAATACTTTTCCCAAAATAGCTGGAGACATA